CATTCAACTTCAAACAAAGCATGAACTAAAATCAAGTGTGCTCAACTCGGTGCAAATATAATAGTAGCAATTGGTAGTGTTTGTGTTTTCTACTTTATCGCTTGCGTATTTTTTACTCAATGTTTCTACTTAAGATTTCAATTTGTTCGTTTGCAAGCCGTTTGTGATGATTCCTCTTTGAAAGTGAGTAGCATGTATCATTTATATTACACTCATACAAGACATCAGCTTTTTGCCTCTACCCACATCCAATGTGATAGTCAAATTAAAAAGGGGCGCACATACACATATAAAACACACTGTCTCTTTCTTTCGCACTCTCACCTCCTTGTCTCGCTCGTTCAAAGAGTGAACGGCATCGTTAAGAAAAAGAAGAAGTGGAAAAAAATTTGCAACGTAATCTCATTCAATTCAATTTTCTTAAACTTGTGTCCGAAACTTTTTCTTTTTCACTTGCTTTACTTTGGGTATGTGCGCTGTTTTTCAATCGGATTGCTGCGAGAGAAAACTTTTAAACCTATCGCATTAAAATTTTCCGTATTATTCTCTCAACTCGTTCCCGCCGATAAAACGTAAAATAATAAATTCCAACCGGTTTTTTTCGTTCGTATTTTCAGTGTTGTTTTCGTTGTTGTTGGCAGTGGCGGTGGCGGTAGCGGTGGCGGTGATGGTGATGGTGATTTTAGGGAGTAGAACGAGCTCGCGCGCTCACGCACCCAGTATAACTTTCTTACTTCATCAATTTGTTTTACGGTTCACAATCAGTATCCAGATGTGGGAATCCATTTTCGTTGTGCTCAATGTGTGTGTGGATGTGGATGCTTGTGCAATGTGCATAGTGGCACCATTCGTCGCTGTTTCCAAACCACATGGCACATGAAATAAGGTGAATCATCATTTTTCGGCTAACCACCGCTTTTCCATTACTTATTTCAATTAGGTCTATTCACTTCGTATTTGTTTTTCAATTGCTCAATTCGTTTTGAGATTCGCTTTTTTTGTTCCTTGTGGCTTGGCCATTTGTACAATTCATTGAACCAAATGCAATGGAAACGTACAAATCGGCCGAAATTCGAAAGTAAAACAGCAATTCAATTGATGTGCAACATCAAAATGGCAATTCAAAGGATAGTTCCGGTGGTTTTTCGCTGGAATACAGTAAATTCAAACGGGTTGCTTTGATTGCGACTTTGAAATTACATTCTCAATGACGATTCACTTTGAAGTCGATACATCTTTATTAACACTGTAAATACGTACATTCATTCCAATTTCAAAAGCAACAATTCATGTGCATGAATAAACGAATAAAATGTATGACGTTAAATTTCTTTGTACAGATCTAATTCCAAGTCTATCCACTTTCCGATCCGCTTCATTCTACCATTTCCCCATTGTTTTGGCCAATATTCATGTTTGGCTCTTTCGTTCTTCGTTGTTTCAATTTTGTTTTTCATCCACAAACGCAGCACAAAAACCACGGCTAAACTTTGACTTTACCGCACGTGTGGCATACAAAGTTTCGCATTTTGTGGGAATATTTCAAGTAGAGAAGGGGCAGCAGGCAAAAAAAATATAATGGACTAAATGTGGTCGTTTAACCTTATTCTCTAGATTTCCCGATAAAAGCAACATGCATAAAAGTGCATCTCAAAGCATTTTTCGTGGAATTGAAAAATGAAGTTGAGTCTGGCCGCATACAGTTTATTAGATTGCTTTGACCATTGATGGGAAAAAAGGAAGTATTTTCCAGCTCGTACATTCTCAAAAGAAGAGGGAGAGAAAGTGAGAGGGAGAAGGAAAAAGAAAGAGGAAAAAAGGAAAAAAAAGAAGGGAATCAACTCATATTCAGTTCAAGGCAATTGCTTTCATCCGTTACGATGATGCTATTCTTTAGTGTTGCAAAAAGCATATTCAAATTACTTGAAGAGGTTATGTACTTGGCAAGTTTTTTGATTGCATCAAAAACGAAAACTTTTCTCCTCTTCCATTATAAGTGTAAACAAAGACCGATTTTCTGAAGTGCAATGATTGATGTTAATCGACTTTGCTGTCGAAAAAGGTATACTTTTACTTTTGGTCAAAATAAAATGCATGTGCAAACATAGCCGATAATTGACCATCAATTACAATTTAAATGTAATTTAACAAACAAAATTTCAATGTGAAGTTTGTTGCCAAAGTGTTTTTTTCAACAGCTTTTCACCCTTTGTATCCATTTCACTGGAAATTGTTTCAATCAACAGCACAACTCGTTGTAGTGATAGTCAATAATTAACAAATTTACTTGTAAAACGATACAAATAGAATAGAAGAAAATTGTCTTCAACCGTAGCCCGATTTCAGTTTGTTTACTTAACAGCTGATTTCGATACACACAGAAATAAAATGTGGTAGGTTTATGCTATCTACTGGTGAAGAGTATGATTACCACAAGTCTTGGAAAAGTTGACCCACGCACCAAACTATTATTATGCACAGAACACATGCATTTTTTGGTTGGAAAATTTTCGAAAAAGCGCTACTGTGGGAAATTGGAAAATCGGGGAAAGTTCAGACCAGTCTCAATCGACCAGACGGAAAATTTCATGTGAGGTACCGACCCGAAGGGCGATTTTCAAGCGAAAAAACCATCCATTCCTGAGATAAATGAAAAAACTTGCCAATTCATTTATCTCAGAAATGGATGGTTTTTTCGCTTGAAAATCGCCCTTTGGGTCGGTACCTCACATGAAATTTTCCGCCCGATCGATTGAGACTGGTCTGAACTTTCCCCGATTTCTCAATTTCCCACAGTAGCGCTTTTCCGAAAAAATTTCAACCAAAAAATGCATGTGTTCTGTTCATAATAATAGTTTGGCGCGTGGGTCAACTTTTCTAAGACTTATAGCACAAACCTACCACATTTTATTTCTGTGTGTATGATTCGTACATTTTTTTCTCTCTCTTATTAATAATTTTCAGTTTATTCAAAACATGTAAATAGTTGGAAATGCGAAGAGTAGAGTGAGTGAGAGAAAGAAAGAAAGAGAGAAATGCTCGAACGAAATATTGTCATCGGCATAAAATTCCCGTTGGTTTACGTACTAAAGTGTTTGTACACACATATCTCGCGCTAAACATTGTCAATGTTAACCCGTGACAATGTTACCTATTGCACAAAAATATGAAATCGATGTGCTATAGCCTGAAAGTGATGGCAAAATAAATGGCTCTATATTGGAGTAGTCGAGTCTATGCCCCAGTGTTTGGTCCTGTGTCCGTACTCATGCATACATGTGAATGGAATGGAAAGGCGAAATTGGAATATGGTATTCAAAGTTCCGCATTGTTCCGATAAAGGTGAAATGTTGATTCAATTTTCGTTTGCTCAAAATTCGCGTCATCATGATTTGCGACGTGGTGCGTATGTATACGATTTTTAACATTTGAATTGACGTCTGTTTTTTTTTCTATACTCGTTTTACTCTCGTTCTTTATCATCATCATCACCTTCTGTAGCTTATTTATATATTTCACTCACACGCAATTTACACAGGATATGAGCGACAGAACGAGCAAAGTGAACGAGATAAAAAAAAACACACACACACTTCTAGCGTTCAAAATTGAATTTCTCCATTTGAAATGTCGCGTTCTGCATTTATTGTGTTGGAATCAACCCCGAAATGTGACTATTTACAAACTTCTTCCTATTTTTAATATTTCACCGTTTAAGGCACAGTAAAATTGTTTTTATTTTCTTCACTGCAACGAATGTGAAAAGTCAGAATTTCCCCCTCCCCTCTCTCTCTCTCTCAATCTCAAAGCCAAAATTGATTTTTTTTCTCTTCGTTTCCCATGTACCAAGTAGCATTTCGAGTGAATGGAGTTATTCTTGAATTACAATTGAAAATATCAACAAAAGTGAATATTTTGGTGAAGAAAGACACGTTTTCAAGATGAATTTACAACGGGAATGAAGAAAAAGAAAACTAGCATTTTCTTGATCAAACTTACTTGTATGTTTACTACCATTTTATAGCGGATTCATATCTGCGTCGAAAAAGCGCGACCAAACACACACACACACACACACAACACGTGTATATGAAAATTGGCAAATAGAACGACCGAGAGATTGTGTGTGTGTGTGTGTGTGTGTGTGTGTGTGTGTGTGCATAAGAAGGAAAAAAAGTAGAACATTTCAAAAGTTTACAGCGTATTATAAAAGTTATACTTTTTGACGCGATCCCGACCACTGAAGAAAAAACTGCCACCGAATTTACACTAAAGAATCAGACGAGGCACGAGTTCATTTTCATATATGTAAAACTTTGCAAAATCTTTTTAATTTTATCGCCGGGAAAATTCAACGGAAAACTTTTTACATATGTCCAAATGTTTAACGTGCACCATGCATTTTTCTGCTTTTTCTTCTTCATCATCATCATCTCTTGTATCGTTTTGACTAGAATCATTTGAGATTCAGTTGACTTTTCGTTTGATTATGTACCTTTTTTTTAAAAAAAACATACGTATTGATTTGAATAATTGATTAAATACAACTTGTGTATTACAGGGGAATTGTTGAAATTAAAGCCATCGTACACACTCAATATTATAGCGACATCTATTATTAAAATAGCTTGTAGTAAATGCATTTATAGCATTTCCCTGTAGTCGCGATGTTTCCTATTAAATTCCCTTGTAGTACTGACACATTCATGTTTGACACTTGTTAACTACATACCACAGGGGAATTTAATAGGTAACATCGCAACTACAGTGAAATGCTATGAATGCGTTTACTACAAGCTATTTTAATAATAGATGTCGCTAAAATATTGAGTGTGTATGTTCAAAATAAACATTGGAATACTGTTTTATTCATTTAATAATTTTTGTACGGGTTTTTTCCCTCTAAAATTTTATGGAAATAAGTTAACAAACAAACATTTGTTACATTTTCCAAATTGAACTAGCTACTAACTGTGGCAATGATTGGCTTAATGTCCGCCCTAAAAACCAGCACTTGCAGAGGATGTGGCGAATGCTTGTGCATAGCCATCGTTTGATGAAGCGTCAGCAGTCGCAGCGGCGTTGGACGAAGCATGGCCACTTCCGTATCCTCCTCCTCCGTAGGAGGAAGCGTCAGCCTTGGCTGTGGCAGTAGACGAA